AGCCTCTGGAAAAATCACATAGTACAATGAGCTTTTAAAAACTACACTGAGAGCATGGGTGGTGGGACTTTCAAACATTGGGATACACATTTACGAAAGGCCACCTGGTTGGTCAGCACCAGAGGATCTTGCCAACAGGGCTGGCCCAGCCCAGTCAGAACTTTTACATACTGTAGAAGGGGATAAAGTTCCTTTAGTGCATATAAAGAATTCGCTGGAGAAGAGTCTGCTTCAGGTAAATACAAACCCACTTTGCCCAGGGACCCGTATATACTTGGTGGGTAACGTAGGAAGATGGGGAAGTCCGATGTATACCTCAAGGCGATTTTATTTTAGGGGAAAACAGCCAATGAACTTAATTGTATGCTGTTGCCTGCTATGTAGCGCTTTTATAGCCCACCAACCAGATGTCTTCAGGTCACCATTGACTGGCCCTGACTTCCCTCCAACAATCATTCCAGCAAAGAATTAACTTTGATGAAACCAGGCAAGTTCTGCAACGATCCAACACTACACAGCCTCTACTGCTCTGAAAGACTGTTACAAGAGATGGAGCCTGACATTATGGACCAGATGGGCTCAGCAACTTTATAGGGATTGGTCCATGCACTAAGGAACGATATCTCTCTCTCTCTCTGTGTGTGGATCTGTATTTGTGTATATATATATATATATATGGAAAAAGAGTGATGGTGTATTGAGAATGTAGAATTTGAGCATGATGTGAATGGTTTGGAATAAGGGGTGGATACTGTCCTGAGTTCTGCAGTCGCAGTCATTTTTCTCCTTAGTGGCTGGTGCAGTGCTGTGTTTTTTACTTTCAGCCTGGGAACATCACTGATAACACCGATGTTTTTAGTTGTTGCTCAGTAATGTTTACTATGACCAAGGACTTTGTGAGTCTCATGCTCTGCCAGGGAGGAGGGGAAGCTGGGAGGAAGCAGAGATAAAACGCCTGACCCAAACTGACCAAAGAGGTATTCCATACCACAGCACGTCATGCCCAGTATATAAACTGGGGGCAGTTACCCAAAAGGGCTAGATCACTCCTCAGATCGGGCTGGGTATCAGTCGGTGGGTGGTGAGTGGTTGTATTCTCTTCCCTTGTTATTTCCCTTATCATTATTATTATTGGTGGTAGCAGTAGTGGGTTTTTATTATATCTCAATTACTGGACTGTTCTTATCTCACCCTTTGAGAGTTACATTCTTTCGTTTCTCCTCTATCCCTCTGCGAGGGCGGGGAGTGAGTGAGCGGTTGTGTGGTTCTGGGTTGTGGGCTGGGCTTAAACCACGACACCCCCAAAAACCCAAATTATGCTGATAGTGTCTACACTGAGCCACCATAAAGGTGTGACACCCAGGACACAAAAAGACAGTACAGCGGCCACGTCCTAGGCTGGACACTTGGAGGGAGTCCTGACTGGCCATACACACAGAACAGCATCTCTTGGTGCAGCTACACACCCCACTGACCAAGCCCTGTCCTCATCCTACAGTGTTTGTATTCCGAGAATCCCATCCTCATCACCAAATATATTCCACGTTCGTGGGATTCCTGTGTACAAAGACCGGACACCAAACATAATATAAACAATCAGATGGTCTAGTCTATTTATTGCGCTACTAATGCAAAGCTAATTTACACTAACATGAGCCAAGTTACATACATACCGACCCCTGACTGCACAGCATACTGCCTAGCAGGAGAAGGAGGTGGAACATAATGCCCAGAGGGGTGGTAGGCAGTGCATCATCAGGGGCATGCCCTGAATCAATAAGCGCATCTGACCTTCTCACCTGTCAGGTCCTTATATCCCCTCTCGGGTTGGAGTGGAAAATTGCTAGTTGCAACATCAGCACACATATAGCCAGCATGTGAACAGATGTTTGCCAGTATTATTGAATTGCTGAGGTGAGTAGCTCAAGAGAGGATACCTTCAACACCTGAGCTGGAGGAAGCTCAGCTTCCATGAGCCTCAATTCAGAGCAGCAAGAGCCACCGAAGGAGCATCAAGTCCTCTACAACTTGCTCAGGAGCTGGCAGCTCAGCTGACATGAGCAGCTGACTCACAGGGGGCGGTGCCAGGAGGGACTGTACCAGCCCTGACTGGATAAAAACCCGCCCCAGGGAATGGGAGCAGGAGCGTTGCAAACAGGGCATGGTGCGGCAATTGGTGTGGGGTAGGCGAGCGGGATAGTGAGCACTCTCCTTATGACCAGGGCCCAGTCTGGGAGCTCTTCTCTGGCTGCCCCGGCAGTGCCCATAAAGAGGAGGAGGACAATTAAAAGCAAGGAGTTTCCTCCTAAATCTGATGTCCCCACCCAGAACCACTTCTCAGTTCTGCAGGGGGCTAATGAGGAAACACACATCTAACCACATGAACGTATGGGTCAGTGTTAAACGGAGAACAGCTAAGGGGGACATTATTCTTGGGATCTGTTACAGACCACATGATCAAGAGGACTTTATAGACAGATAGGAATAGTCTCATGATTGCAGGCCCTTGTCCTCATACAGGACTTCAACCACCCTGATATCTGTTAGAGGGACGGCAGGGCCCAGCATAAGCAATCCAGGAGGTTCGATTGTGTGGAAGACATCTTCCTTCTGCAAGTAATAGAGGAGCCGACAAGGAGAGGTGCCATGCTTGATCTTGTGCTCACCAACAGGGAAGGGCTGGTAGGAAATATGATGCTCCAGGGAAGCCTCGGTTGTAGCGATCATGCGATGGTCGAGTTTGAGATCCTCAGGACAGTGGGAATAGTGTGTAGCAAGCTCACTGCCCTGGACTTCAAGACAGCAGACTTGGGCCTCTTCAGGAACCTGCTTAGTAAAGTTCCATGGGATATAGCCCTAGAGGGCAGGGGGACCCAAGACTGTTGATTGATATTCAAGGATCACCTGCTACAAGCTCAGGAGTGTTGTGTCCCAACTGGAAGGAAATGCAGAAGGAGGGCCAGGAGACCTCCTTGGATGGATAAGGAGCTGCTTAGGAAACTTAGAGGGGAAAAAATATTCTTATAAAGGGCAGGTGGCCTGGGAATAATACAGGGATGTTGTCCTCCCAGACAACAGCTTCCCAGATAGGGACCAGATTAGGCAAGCTAAGGCCCAGTTAGAATTAAACTTGACTAGGGATGTGAAAGATAGCAGGAAGGGGTTCTGTAGGTGCATAGTGAACAAAAGACAGACTAGGGACAACATGTCCCCTCTCCGAAAGCTATCAGGAGAACTGGCTACCCTGGATTTGGAGAAGGATGAGGTTCTTAATGATGCCTTTGCCTCAGTCTTCACTGAAAAATACTCTAACCACACCAACTAAGTCTTGGAAGGCAGACACAGGGACTGCGAGAATGAAAACCTTAGACCCACTGTAGGAGAGGATCAGGTTCAAGACCATTTTAAGAATCTGAATGTGCACAAGTCCATGGAAACTGATAAAGTCCATCCATGAGTCCCAAAGGAGCTGGCAAATGAAGTTGCTAAGCCACTGTCCATCATATTTGAAAAATCATGGCAGTCAGGTGAAATTCCCAACCATTGGAAAAAGGGTAATATAGCCCCTATTTTCAAGAAGAGAAAACTGGAAGATCTGGGGAACTACAGACCATTCAGTCTCACCTCTGTGCCTGGCAGAATCTTGGAGCAGATTCTCCTGGAAGGCATGCTAAGGCACATGAAAATCAACAAGGTGCTTGGTGACGGCCAACATGGCTTCACTAAGGGGAAATCATGCCTGACCAATTTGGTGGCCTTCTGTGATGGGGCTATGGAACTGATGGGTAGGGGCAGAGCAGCTGACATCATCTACCTGGACTTGCGCAAAATGTTTGACACTGTCCTGCATGACATCCTTGTCTCTAAATTGGAAAGACATCAATTTGATAGATGGACCACTCAGTGGATAAAGAACTGGCTGGATGGCTGCACGCAAATTGCTGTGGTCAGTGGCTCAATGTCCAGCTGGAGACCAGTAACGAATGGTGTTTCTCAGGGATGGGTGTTGGGACTGATCTTGTTCAACATCTTTGTCAGTAATGTGGGCAGTGGGATTCAGTGCCCTCAGCAAGTTTGCCGATGACACCAAGCTGTGTGATTCAGTTGATATGCTGGAGGGAAGTAATGCCATCCAGAGGGACCTTGACACATTTGTGAGGTGGGCTAATGCCCACCTTATGAAGTTTAATCATGCCAAGTGCAAGGTCCTACACCTGGGTCCGGGCAATCCCAGGCCCAGCTACAGGTTGGATGGAGAAGAGATTCAGAGGAGCCCTGCAGAGATGGACTTGGGGGTGTTGGTCGATGAAAAATGTAACTTGAGGTCGCGGTGTAAGCTTGCAGCTCAAAAAGCTAACCATATCCTGGTCTGCATCAAAAGGAGCATGACCAGCAGGTCAAAGGAGGTGATCCTCCCCCTCTACTCTGCTGTCGTAGCACCTCACTTAGAATATTGGGACCAGTTCTGGTGTCCTCAACATAAAAGATGGAACTGTTGGAAAAAGTCCAGAGGAGGGGCACGAGGATGATCAGGGGACTGGAACCCCTCCTGTATGAAGACAGGCTGAGAAAATTGGGGCTGTTCAGCCTGGAGAAGAGAAGGCTGCGTGGAGATCTCATAGCAGCCTTCCAGTATCTGAAGGGGGCCTGTAAGGATGCTGGGGAGGGACTCTTCATTAGGGACTGTAGTGACAGGACAAGGGATAACAGGTTAAAACTTCTACAGGGGAATTTTTGATTGTATATAAGGAGGAAGTTCTTTACTGTAAGGGTAGTGAGGCACTGGAACGTGTTGCCCGAGGAAGTTGTGAACGCTCCATCCCTGGCAGTGTTCAAGGTGAGGTTGTATAGAGGCTTGGATGGCATGGTTTAGTGTGAGGTGTCCTTGCCCATGGCAGGTGAGTTGGAACTAGATGATCTTAAGGTCCTTTCCAGCCCTAACTATTTTATGATTTTATAAGACTCCATTGCGCTAACCACGGTTTTCCAGGCTGGCTAACTCCCCTGTTTTCAAGGTTCACTGAACCTATGCCAAACAGTACTTTTCCATTCCTGTGTGTTTCACTACAGACCATTATCATCTGACACAGACACAGAACTAGTAAATTACTTTAAGAATATTGTTTTAATCGCTTCCTGGGTTTGCTTTCATTAAATTGTACCTTGATTTTTTCCTTGAAATATCATTTCCATTGCTAGTCATTTCCTTTTTTTTTTTTGGTTATGTAAGGAGCACTATATACATAGCCAGCAAATCTTCCATCTGATATTTCCTGGACATAGTGGATTTGTGGAAGTTTTGTAATCATAACCCAAGTAAGCTTAAAAATTGCTTAATGTCTGGTTCGTTTTAGACTTCAAGTGTTGTTGGACCAGCTCAACAAACATTGGAAAACAGTATGTCTGGCATATCAACTTCTGCTTCTCATTTGCCTTCTGAAAATGAAAACCAGCAACAAATACAGACAAAGGTGTATAATCCAGAGACTCTAATTACTATCCAAACACAGGACATTTCTCAGCCTGGTAGCTTTTCAGTAGTCTCTACTCCAGGTCAGCTGCAGTGCAGTGATGCATTATTGCAGCAAGCTGCACAGTTCCAAACAAGAGATTCCCTAACTAGGGAAGTCTTGCAATCAGATGGCACAGTGGTCACTTTGTCACAGTTAACTGATGCATCACAGCAACAACAGTCTACACTCTCAGAACCAGCACAGGCATTTCAGGAACAGATTTCATCAAGTATTTTCTCATCAGGAAGTTGCATGAGTAAGTTACAGAACACTATCCAGCAACTGCAAGCTGGACATTTTCCAAGAAACACTGCCACTGGCAGCAATAGGAAAGTTGACTTGGTGCAACAGGTATTGGAAGCTCAACAGCAGTTATCTTCTGGTTTATTTTCTGGTTCAGACTGCAGTGAGGATGTTCAAGATCGGCTAAATGCAGGTATCTTTCAGCAAGTTAGTCAGATACAAAATAGTGTAAATCCTGGGATATTTTCCTCATCAGACACAGCTGTTCATTCCAGATCAAAGAACCTTTTGCCTGGACAAGCTGAAAATGTTCACTCACAACCTGAAAATGCATTGTCCAATCAACAGCAGCAGGCGATGGAGACTTCTGCTGCAATGGTGATAGGAATCCAACAAAAAATTTGCCAGGCTGCATCACAGATGCAATCTGATTTGTTCTCTTCAGCATCAGGAAATGGAGCCCTCCAACAGTCGCCTGTTTACCATCAGACTTCTCACATAATGAGTGGGTTATCAACAAGCGAAGGCATGCAAATGCAGTGTGAATTATTCTCTTCATCTCCGGGTGTTTCTGGAAGTGATACTACTCCTACTGCTCAGCAGCAGGTCTCCAACAATGGACGTACTATGTTTCATGATGCAAATTCTGCAGGTGGCGAAGAAGCTTCAGAACAGAGTGAACAGATGCAAAGTACTGTATTTCAGACCATGGTTCAAATGCAGCATAGTGGAGAAAGTCAATCTCAAGTTAATCTGTTTTCATCTACTAAAAACATGATGGCTGTTCAGGCAAGTGGAACTCAACAACAAGGAGGTGGTCTGTTCCAGCAGAGCAGAGAAATCATGTCTGTTCAGTCAGGAAGCTTTATGCAGCAGTCTCCACATTCTCAAACTCAGCTTTTTCACTCTCAGAATCCTATTGGTGATAATCAGAATATATCACAGGAAACACAAGGCTCTATTTTCCACAGTCCAAATTCCATTGTCCACAACCAGACCAGTACCAATTCCTCAGACCCACTGCAGCCTCCAATGTTCCACTCACAGAACACCATGGGTGTATTGCAAAGCTCTTCAGTTCCTCAAGACCAGCAGTCTGCTGACACATTCCTTTCCCAGAGTTCAATGAGCAATGCTGCAACTCAAGAACAGGTATCATTCTTTACAAGCCCAAATTCCATTTCTCCTCTTCAGACAGCAACAAATACTGAACAACAGACCTCTTTCCAGCAGCAGACAGAGATATCTCATATCCAGAGTTCTATGCTTCCCCAAGAACAGCCCCAGACTCAGCCTGCTCAGCAAGGTTTGTTTCAGTCTCAAGTGTCACTAGGCTCCATCCAGTCCAGTTCAATTCCTCAGAACCAGCAAGGAACTATCTTCCAGCCTCAGCATTCAATAGTTGCTATTCAGAGTAGTCCTCCATCTCAAGAACAGCAGCAGCAGCAACAGCAAAACATGATGTTCAGTAATCAAAATGCAATGAGTACAGTTGCTTCGCAAAAGCAGAACATGATTTTCAATCCAAATCAAAACCCGGTTACCAATCAGGAGCAACAAGGCCAGTCCATTTTTCATCCACAGACTAACATGACATCAATGAACCAGGAGCAGCAGCCCATGCAATTCCAGAGTCAGAGTACCGTGTCTTCTCTTCAGACTCCTGGATCCAGTCAGGCTGAAGCACAGCAGCCAGCCATCTTCCATAACTCACCCCAGATTCAGTTGGTCCAAAGGTCGTCAAGTTCTCAAGAGCAACAAGTCACCCTCTTCATCTCTTCAGCTTCCATGTCTCCTTTACAGAATAGTATGAGCCAGCAAGAGATGCAGCAATCTCCTATGTACTCTTCTCAAAACAGCATGGCAGGAATGCAAGGAACTGCTTCTCCTCCACAGCAACAAGCTGCTTTATTCCACAACACAGCAGGAGGTGCTATCAACCAGCTGCAGAATTCTCCTGCTTCGCCTCAGCAAACATCAGGAATATTCCTGTTTGACATTCAAAACAGTAAGTGATAGATGCCTATTCTGAGTTTACAATTTAGAAGAGCTACTCATTGGAGTCCACAAGACTTAATTCTAAGATAATTAAAAAAAAAAAAAATAAAATAAATCGTGGAATAAGTAATGTAGCACCTCAGTTGAGAATATACTCATCATGGTGCTCTGGATGTTACTGATTTTGCATGAGAACTCTTAGCTTAAATACCTCTTTTGGTTGTCCTACACTTAGGATTAACATGTGACTAAACCACCTTAGAACTGTGTATAGATACTTATACAGAAATAAATATCTATACAATATATTCTAAAAATGTTATTAATAACACTATACAAATAATATGTAAAATACACATACGTACATGTTAAAGGGTTATGCCATCTTGACATCTCCACTAATCTTTCTCTTGCTGCATTTGGTTTCCACAGTTTACACAATAGCTTTGTGGAGAAGAGAAGGCTCTGGGGAGACCTTAGAGCAGCTTCCAGTGCCTCAGGGGGTTGACAGGAAAGCTGGAGACAAGGCCCTGTAGGGACAGGAGAAGGGGGAATGGCTTTAAACCAACAGAGGGAGGTTTAGATGAGATATTAGGAAGTTCTTCCCTGTGAGGGTGGTGAGGTGCTGGCACAGGTTAACCAGAGAAGCTGTGGCTGCCCCATCCCTGGTAGTGTTCAAGGCCAGGTTAGAGAGGGCTTGGTGCAACCTGGTCTAGTGGAAGGTGTCCCTGCCTGTGGCAGGGAATTTAGAACTGGATGAGCTTTAATAAGGTCCCTTTCAACCCAAATCATGCTATGATTCTGATTCAACACTTTCCTTATGCTATGCATTTTGTTTTTCTTTTAGCTATGTGTTGTCCTCTGGGGTGTTAATAGGGTTTGGTTATAATACAGGGTCCATATATTCCATACATACACCTTGAAACCCTGCTCATACCCTGAGGGAGTGGTGAGCAGGGGTGGCCATGTGAACAAAAGTGACTATAACTTTCTACACAGCTCATATGTAAAGAACTTAGCTGATTCACTGCATGTGTTAAACTAATTTAAATGGTACTCTGTTTTTCACTTACTGTTTAACAGACTGTGGCCAGTTGCTAACTTCTGGACCAGTGACGTTGCATGATGAGTTGATGGCTATAAGTCAGACGGGTCAGCCACAGAGCAAGGGACAAGCAGCTGTGCCCACACTTCTCTCCCAGCAGATATCTGAGACGTCTCCACTACCTTCAGCTATGGCAACCAACCAGAATATTGAGAAAATAGATGATCTGCTCGTGTCATTGCAAAACCAGAGGAACAATATAGCTGGCTCCTTTTAATTAGTCAAGTAAGTAATTTGTTTGGGTTTCTGGGCTCTTTGCACACAGGCTTTTGTTCAGTAAGTCTTTACTTTGGAATGTATCACCATGCTTTAAGTGGCTAGCTAAATACCAGTGGTTAGGATGAATAGTTATTTTAAAACAGTCAAAGATCAGAATTTGTATGAAGTGGTTGGTTGAGATTGGTTCTTGTTGTTCAATTGCTGTATGTTTTATCATCTGCTGTTAGGGTGTAGTACTTGATGAAGAAGGAGGGTATATAACTGACAGCTTGGCAGATAAAAGTGTTATGAAATACAACTATAGTTAAAAACTTAAGGCTTATTGAGTAAGTAATAGTCTGTACTATTCTGAAGTTGCCCCCGGGGATCCAGTAATGTAATGTGAAAACAAGTTTAGGTAGAATATGGCAGCTGTTGAGAGTATGCAACATGCTGAGTCTTTGTGAAAACACCATCAGCTGTTACTAGAAAACATTCTGCTTTTAGAAGGTGCCTTTTTCAGTGAGGTGAAAGAGGCTTTGACTACAAATGAGTACCAAGAACCAGGAGGACTCTGGAATCTAGTATTGTCCACAGTGTGTAACTTGGCTCTAGTTAACTCTGTTGCTGTCCTAAATCCCCTGTAAGTTTCACTTCATTTTCTAATATAAGCTGTTGTGGGTTTTTTAAATTTTATTTAAGTTATGAACTTAAATAAAGTGGAAGGAGAATAATCTCTGTGAGAGTGCTGCATTCTGATACTGAGTTTCATGTCTGCTGGTGAGCAACACTTTCAAGATGAAGGAACTAAACTAAAGTAAGGGGATGGCTTTTGTTAGTTATATTTTAACTCTTTTGCTTGCTTGTTTTTTCCTGCAGAAATTCTGTGAAGAAAAAAGTGATGATTTCCCAGATACTCTCAGACCTTCTGACTCTGGATTAGGCTGTGTGGAACTGATTGCTTCTGTCAAAGAGTGGCCCTTTTCTCTAAAGAGCACACACATGGCCAATTGCAGCATCTAGCACCTAAGCCTATGACCATAGTATCTGAGATTTATAGTGCAATGCCGAAAAGCTATGCTTTGTTTTACGAGGGCATGGGATTGTACCATTACCAGATTCCTAAACCTCATTAACAGGGGGGTGCTCTTTGTTGTTGTTAGAAGGTAATACATGTCACCACATTTATTTTTTTTTCCTCCTCTTCCTTCTTCCCCTCTTTTGACTGGAAAAGCTTGTGAAGCAGAAACATCAAATGCCTGTGCCATGAGCCATGACTCATAGCTGTCAGTAAGTGAAGGGATTGTTTTAGAATTGAGTGGGAGAGCTAATACTGTGATTTGCTAATTGCAGTAGGCAGCAACAACAAATTGATAACTATAATCAGCAAGCAGAGAATTGTTTGCTTCTGTAGATAGCCAGAGGTGGGTGCTTCCCATCTGCAGATGTGATTAATCATTTTCCATTTCTCTTATGTGTAACTGTACATGGAGCAAGGGTTTGGTGGGTTTGGTAGCTCTAAAATGAAGACATGAAGGGGAACTTTCAATTAAATTTTGCTCTTAAAATCTTGTCCTCTAAAAAACCTTCTAAAGAACGTTCTGCCTGGCTGAGGAAAAAACTCTGTGTCTCTCGCTCTGACTGGATGGGTTAGAACTCTGTAAAGCTGCATTAGCTGTTCTCAAACCAGTCTTCTCCCTTCCATTCTTTTCATGGTTTTCTTTTTCTCTTCCCCAGTTTCATATTGTGTTTTAAAAAAAGGCATAAATATCCTACTGGCTTTAAATGCCAGAAGCAGCTTTTAGAAATCCATGGCATTAAATTGCTTAGTCAATAGAAGCTTTGACAAATAATCAAGAATTAAGGAGAGGGGAAGCAATTTCTCCACCACCTTCTAAATGCAGGAACCCCCCCTTAACCAGGCGTTTTCCAGCTGTTACTGATGTAAATCTTCAGCTTGACTTTACTCCAAGTTAGGGGGCAAATTACATCATTTTTAAGCATTCTGGAAAATTTCACTTAATCCTGAACTGTTGCATCTTTGTAGCATACTGAGCTCACTGCAGTTTTGAAGTGATTATTTTTCCCTACCAACAGTCCCCCAAATATCATTTCTAGATGGTCATGTTTCACTTTAAAAACTAAAAAAAAAAAAAAAAAGCATTGACTGATGTTACGGAATGTAAGAACAACCCACTTCAGATCATGCAGTTGCATTGTGAGGTATGTGAATTTTTTGGGTGCTCCAACTATCCAGAAAGTTTTGTGAATTCTCACTACAGCCTCATTCAGATCTTTTTTTCTTCTGCATGTAGAAAGCTGTTGCTACCTTGAGACTCAGACAGCTGTCATGTATTGCGATTATGCCTTGATAGAGTGTAGTTGGTATCATGTTATTTTACGTTTTTGTTATTTTAAATAACAAAGACTAGTCTGTAAAAGGTTTTCTAAGTTCCTCTAGTCTGTTTACTGTGTTTTTTCCCTTAACTCGTGCGTGTAATTGAGCCATGTAGAGAGTTTGTTTGTTTAATGGATTTTCCCATTTGTCAGTCTGTCCTGCTGTTCACTTTCTCTTTCTGTCTCTCTTTCTCTCTCTCATTGAGAGGCAATTAATTACGTTTTCAGTAGTAAGGCTTCTTGCCGATATGAAAGGAGCTTTTCAGAAAGAGACCTGCTCTGGGTCATTTAATTTTGAATACAGTTTTCAATCGTTCAGGTTTTGGATGGTTTATATCTAACGTGTGTTTCATTTTTTTGGAAAGCTATATTTTGTATTTAGGAAATGGTATACTATTTTGCTATTTGTACTGAGTGAGTACATTGGCATAAATATAAAAATTTATATACATATATATAAAATATTCTTTTTGCCACACATTTTTGTGGTAAACTTGTGAGTTTGTCTGATGCTCTACCACAACGTGACATCTGATAACTGGGGCAGGGTGGGGTTTGTCATGTCTTTATCGAATATTTAATTACTTTTTGCAACATAAATAACTTGTTCATCTTTCACCATTCCATCAGGTAGCTTATTGTTCCAACTGGCTATGAGAAGCTTCCCTGTGTGTTTTGATGTGTCCGTCACTCAGCAATATGACCTAGTAAGGAAACTCATAGGCACTTAAGCATATATAAAGTAACAGGGTTTCATTCAGAATGAGCCATTCAGCTTTTTTCCACTATCATTGTCTATTTAATATTTTTATTATTAATGTCTCTGTTTTAATTCTTAATTTATGATTATGCTAAAATGTTTAAAATTTTAATCATGATAAAAAAAATCCCTGCTTCCTAATGTCCAGAGCTGCTTTAACCCTGAACCATACTTTTTCTTTCTGCTACTTATTTTTTATCTCCTGATAAGACAAGATATTAACAATCTCATTATGGTTCATGACATGAAAGCAGCAGTCTTGCAGCACTGACTAAATGCTATGTGAGGCTATGTAGAAGACTGAGAATTATGGACTGAAGCAACTTCCAGATGCTTGTGGAAGTCAATAGCTAGTTATTTGAAAATGAACTAGTGGCTTTTGCAGGATCACAGTCCCAGGACAAGCTGCTGGATGTCGTCCAGAGCCTTCATACACAGAAGTAATAGGAATGATAAATTCACTTGTGTGCTGCTTCAGTTTGTTCCATTGTTCCAAAGGGGTGTATCCTTACATGGAAGTGCGGTTGGTCAGTGTCAAGTCACCAGGGACCAATTCTCCACTTAACAAGATGGGTGTCCAAAAGAGAACTTCATACCAGGACTGCTACAGTTCCAGGGGAAGGGTATGTCTGAATTGTGTGCTGTTTTGGGTTGCTCATGAAGAGACGAGAAAAAAAATCTAAAGTAAATTAGAAAAGGCCTGTGCTGTCATGTTTTTCACTTCTGGATAAAGCCTTTTCTTGTGTTAAATTTGTCATGTTCATTTTAGGTCAGTGTTTAAATGTACAACACTTGGAACATGTAATTTGGTTATAAAAAGTATGTCTTCTGAATGAAGAAATTGCTCAGCAGTTGATCAGTGCTTGCAGACAGCTGTTACAAAGGATAATGAGAGGTTTGATAAGCCAATAAAGAGCTTAAAGATGGGCTGCAGGATTTCATGGCAGAAAGACCCAATAACAGTGTGAGCCACATCTGCATTTTATCAGTCCTAAACATTTACTTTTGGAATTTAAGCAGTTGATATTGATAATTGGAGCTTACTCTGCCTTTTTTATTTTATTTTAATCCCATTCCTGTATTTACTGCTTTTCATGATCACTCTGGTGTGCCTGTGATCTGTGAGTAGATGGATGGAGCCTGCAGAAATGAAGTGGTGACATCATGTCTAATCCATTTTGGGTGAGAAAGAAGATACTGAGATATCAGTCTCTCTAAATTTAAAGTTCCCGATGACATTATTTTAAATGGGGAAGTTACTATCATATACACAGAGCAGCAATGAAGTATGGAAGATACTACTAGGTGAAAATGGAAAACTGTAGACCTGCATTGCTGGGATGGGTTTTAAGTGTCTTGTTTTTTTCTGCTGCTTGAGCTCGCTTCTGCAAGAACTGTTAAGTTTACACCTCCACGTTTAATGTGGGCAATACCCTTCAGCTGTGTGTGCCTCTAACACACCCATGGTCCGCTCTCTGCACAGCATCTATGGGGTGTTGGGATTCACAGAACACCCATTTGTTGGCACAGGTTAAAATCTGGGGAAAGGTACCCGCTAGCCACCAGTTGTGACTGCTGCATGCGTTCTCTTGGCTGCTTATATGGGTGCATGTGTATCTATATGTATATAAAATCATGAGTAGCACATAATACACAGTTATCAGCTAAGTGTCTCTTCTGGCAGGAAGTTATTGTTTCTTTTGCTTAATTAGAAAGTCTATGTTTTGTTATTAATTGCCTCCCCGCTGTCTTATTTTTCAGAAGTTATTCAAGCCAAATGCTTTGTTATTATTTTAACATAAAAATAGTTCCAGAAATTGTAGTATCATAGAATAGTTAGGGTTGGATAGGACCTTAAGATCATCTAGTTCCAACCCCCCTGCCATGGGCAGGGACGCCTCACACTAAACCACGTCACCCAAGACCTGTCCTTGAACAATGCCAGGGATGGAGCATTTACCACTTCTCTGGGCAACCTGTGCCAGTGCCTCACCACCCTCACAGTAAAGAACTTCTTCCTTATATCTAACCTGAACTCCCTCTATTTAAGTTTAAACCCATTACCCCTTGTCCTGTCACTACAGTTCCTGAAGAAGAGTCTCTCTCCAGCATCATTGTAGGCCCCCTTCAGATACTGGAAGGCTGCTATGAGGTCTCCACACAAACGTCTCTTCTACCAGGCTGAACAACCCAAATTTTCTCAGCCTGTCTTCATACGGGAGCTGCTCCAGCCCCCTCATCCTCCTCGTGGCCCTCCTCTGGACTTGTTCCAAGAGTTCCATGTCCTTTTTATGTTCAGGACACCAGAACCGTACACAATACTCCAAGTGAGGTCTCACGAGAGCAGAGTAAAGGGGCAGGATCACCTCCTTCGACCTGCTAGTCATGCCCCTTTTGATGCAGCCCAGAATACAGTTAGTTTCTGGGCTGTGAGTGCACACTGAAGTTGGCTCATGTTCATTTTCTCATCGACCAACACCCCAAGTCCTTCTCTGCAGGCTGCTCTGAATCACTTCTCCACCCATCCTGTAGCTGTGCCTGGGATTGCCCTGACCCAGGTGTATCACCTTGCACTTTGTATTGTTGAACTTCATTAGGGAAGGAATGCCATCTAGAGGGACCTTGACATGCTTGTAAGGGGGGCTGATGCCAACCTTATGAAGTTTAACCATGCCAAGTGCAAGTATTTTTAAGATGGAATAAAGCATGAGCAGTTCAGCATTAGTAACTTTGGTAGGTTTTTTAAATTAAAATACTGAGAGTCTGGGCAGCTGTATCAGTGGACATTCCACTATTTTAGACAAATTGATTTATTTTTATTTATTTAATTTTTAAGCTTCTACTGTGATTTTAGTTTAGGATATAGTTTCTAAAAAGAAAACTTGTCTGAACAGATTTTTTATTACCTTTCCGGAGTCTTCAGAAAAACAACTAATCAAGTCAGAAGCTTGCATTTTTCGTAAAAATGTAGTTTAAATCATTATTTGAGTAGCAGGAAAGATGATTTAGAAAAAAGCAAAATCCAAAAGTTGTTACTGGAATAAAAAAGCTGCAAGTGTTTTCCCCCAAGGGTATTTTCATTAAGAGTTAGAATAGAGTTTGACTCAGTTTTTGACTCTTGTGCCTCTCTACTGGGGCTGCTTTTTCAGGGTAATTCCAGGAGAGGAGTATGAGAGATTACAGGCAGCAGTAGAGGCAAGAACAAGAATGAATTGCTTTGTGTGCTTTCATCTGTGAGTTGAGGGTGGAAGGTGAAAACTATTGATTACTGGTGACTTTTCATTAGTGCAAAATTTATTTTCAAGGAATAGGTGTTTGTTGTGTTCTGGAGGACTGGTGGTAGCTCTAGTCTTTTAGCAGCTAAAAGGAAACTAGTGCTGAGATGCTTTGTTTGGGTGGTTGTTTTAATTTGGATCAGTGTTTTGGGATAGATTGTGAGGGTTGCTGTTGAAATGGGATAAATGCTATTTAGATACAAAGAATGCAGCAGCAGATAAACTTGTGGAAGTGTACTTGTAAAATTCTCTACTCAAGTTTGGGGATCTGAGGGGTCACACAAGAGGGAGTGGCTTTTCCTTTCTTACAGTCTGTATAGGTATGTAAATAGGCAATGCCTGTATATTCTAAGATTATATATATGTATATAGAGGAATCATATCTATTATATGTAAGTAATTAGTAGATATGTGCATAGAATACTGTTATATTTACATTTTTATAAACCTGAAATAATATTACTTTTCCTTAGTATGAGGTCATTTACCAAGGATTTTGTATTAACTCATTAATAGTTGTCTAAATGCCTTTCAGTACTGTACGTGTGGTGCTGTTGGTACTACTCCAGAAACTTGCACTGCTTGTGAACATCACTAATATCCATGGGTTGAAACCAGCTGTACACTTTTGTACTTTTATATTTTTTTATTAATAATTTCAGCTGTGGGGGTAGCAAAGAACTACCAAAAAACTGATGGCCCTGGTCAGAGTTGCCCGCAGGATGGGCTCAGGAGTTGTGGCATCAGCATGGGCTTTCTGCATCTATGTGCTCCCCTGACAGCTTTCCACAGGTGACTTCTGACTTTGGGACCTTTTCTGATTCTAAGATAGGTGTGTTCCATGGGCTGGTTGTGGGGACTATGTGACCAGCTTCCAGCTGTTCATCCACCAGTTTATGTAATTGCAGCAGTTTTTCTTTTGGGAGGGGCCACTGATCTACCCACAGGGGGTCATCTGATTTCCAGGTTAAAGGTGGGACCTGATGCAGAACAGTGGTCCCTAGGAAAAATACATGCTTAAGTGCATTCCCCATTGGCTTAGACAGTCTATGCCCAATAGGGTAGGAGATCCAGGTAGCACATAGGGCCTGATCAAAGCAGATCTTCCTTCTGGTCCAAAAATAACAGCAAGCTCTTTGCTCTGTTTTGGAGAGGTTTTACCACCAATTCCTGATAAGAAAGCATGAACATCCATTAAAGGCCACCGGTCAGGCCACTGTGGTGCAGAAATAACTGCAACATCTGCTCCACTGTCAACAATCCCTCACAAAGTAATTTCTGTCCCTCCTGATTTTAAAGTACAGGACAATTGGGGTTGGTCCATAGTTAATTGTTGAGTTCAATAAATTTCAGGTATCCCTGTAGAGTTAAAACATCCTGAGCCCTTCACAGTATGGACAGCATCCGCTAGCTGGGGTGAAAAATATATTAATTGTGCGATTTAGCTTCCATGGTGGCATTGGAGTCCACACCATTATTTTAATTTCTCCTTCAAAATCAGCATCTATGATCCCTGGCACCACAAAAAGGCCTCTTACTGTTGTAGAGGATTGTCCAATTAACAGTGCTGCCTTTCTATGCCTGAATGAGCCATATGTGACAGTTGGAATAAGCACAACTGATGTGTCTCGAATTATTGTCTCTCCTGAGGTGGCCAGGTCCACTCTGGCGCTTTCGCTTGTGCTGCTGCACAAACTGTGACAGCTCCAGGAGGGAGCCATTAGGAGGGGTAATTTGTTGTCATGGCTCGGCCCCTCACTGCTCTCTGCTTGGGGTTTCCTGGTAAAGTTAAAGGCTGGCTATACCGGTCAAATTTCGATCGGCAAGGACTTACATAATGACGCCTTTTACAACAGCGTGAGCAAATTCCAGGTGCTCCCCTTTTATTATTTGCTTTTACTTTTGGACAGTCCTTTCTCAAATGGCCATACTGACCCCACAAAAAGCACTGATGTGACTTAACTGACAATGCCGCAAATGCTTCTGTAATCAGAGACAGATCGTGTTGTCTAGACCCGACGTTCATACAAGCATTTAACATATCATCTATTCTAGGATTTCGTAAAGGTCGCAATACTTTCTGACAGTCAGAGTAAGCATTTTCAATAGCAAGTTGCTTAAAAATATATTTGTGTGCTTTCTCATTATTGATCTGTTTTTCCAGAGACTCATTAAGTTGGTCTAAAAATTTCGTAAATGGCTTGTTTGATTCAGACAAAAGGCTGTCTCTGTTTACGGGCTTCAGGGACAGCTTTCAAAGCATGAAGTGCCAATTGTTTAACTTCCTGCAAGCGCACCTGGCAAATACTGGCTTGTGCAGCCTTGGTGCCAAAAGGAGCTTGCCCCAGTAATGCACGGCAGTGACCACTCGCAATGGGTCACGAGCCCCCAACACTAAGTTTTCAGCAGCCTGGGTGACTGCGAGCTGCCTCATTTTTGACTCCCACATAGTGTATTGCATGTCCATCATTATCAAACAAAACAACATTTTAGAATCATTGGGGGTAAATACATGAGTATCACAGAGAGACTGTATCAAATGGGCTGTATATGGGCCCCAAGTCCATGATCCATCGCAGTTTGCCTAATATATTCGATAAAAGCATAAGAGACTTTCCCACCGCAGGTTGATGCGCGGATTGACTCCACAACTCGTTAAAGTTGTAAAGTATCACAGTATCACACTATGATAGAGATTGGAAGGGACCTCAAAAGATCATCTAGTCCAATCCCCCTGCCGGAGCAGGAACACCTAGATAAGGTTACACAGGAACGTGTCCAGGCGGGTTTTGAATGTCTCCAGAGAAGGAGACTCCACAACCTCCCTGGGCAGCCTGTTCCAGTGTTCCGTCACCCTCACTGAGAAGAAGTTTCTTCTCAAGTTTAAGTGGAACCTCTTGTGTTCCAGTTTGTACCCATTACCCCTTGTCCTATCATTGTTTGCCACTGAGAAGAGCCTGGCTCCATCCTCGTGACACTCCCCCTTTATATATTTATATACACTAATAAGGTCACCCCTCAATCTCCTCTTCTCCAAACTATAGAGACCCAGCTCCCTCAGTCTTTCCTCATAAGGGAGATGCTCCACTCCCTTAATCATCTTAGTTGCCCTGCGCTGGACTCTCTCCAGCAGGTCCCTGTCCTTCTTAAACTGAGGGGCCCAGAACTGGACACAATATTCCAGATGAGGTCTCACCAGGGCAGAGTAGAGGGGAAGGAGGACCTCTCTCGACCTACTAACCACCCCCCTTCTAATACACCCCAGGATGCCATTGGCCTTCTTGGCCACAAGGGCACAGTGTCGGCTCATGGTCACCCTGTCGTCCACCAGGACCCCCAGGTCCCTCTCCCCTACACTGCTCTCTAACAGGTCGTTCCCCAACCTATACTGGAACCTGGGGTTGTTCCTGCCCAGATGCAGGACTCTACACTTTCCCTTGTTATATTTCATCAAGTTATTCCCTGCCCAACTCTCCAGCCTGTCCAGGTCTCGCTGAATGGCAGCACAGCCTTCTGGCGTGTCAGCCACTCCTCCCAGCTTA